CACCGACGTTGTAAAGCTCGTTTTGGACATGACAACTTGTACTTCTCATTGTTGCATCACCCATTTATATTTCTATTCTTAATTGTTCATATCCTTGGAATAAACATATGCCAGCTCTTTTCTCATAAATTTGTAAGAATCTGTGTTTTAAAATTTTAATAATGTCTTAATAAACCAGAAAATTGTGCCAGGTCCACTTCAATGGGAATAAAACACTGAACCTCTGTAGCTTTTGTATGGTTTATAGTTTACAGTGTGGGAAAGATAGGTCAAAAACATTAAATTTATAGTATATTGAGTATTATGGAGAAAATAAAGGAAAAGAGAAAAATTGATTTAAAAATTGTTTGGGTACTACCACTGGGAAAGTGATATTAGAGTAAGAGTTTGAAAAGAAATGGAGGTGATGATGTTTGCATTATTCATGAGGAGTTTTATACACTAACTTAAACAAGAAATGTGTAGATAGAGATACATGGAAAGGAAGGCCAAATGAAAATGCTCTAAAGTAGTTATAGGTAGAAGTAGTAGTTGTTTTCACAAATATGGGAAACATTTGGGTATTGAGAGAATTTTAGACTAGGGGCTGAGGATACAGTGTAATACTAGAGCACTTGCCTAGCATGTACTAATCACTGGGTTCAATCTAGCACTGCCTTTCCTGCTTAAAGAAAGAAAAAAATGGAGAAATTATAACATACTCCCTCTGTGGAGAAAGAGAAGCTTTAAAATTTATTCAAGTAGAAAAAGGAACACATTTTGACAAGTTGTTTTTGTTTGTTTAATATTGCTATGTCACTTGGAGGAAGGTCATATCTTCAAATTTGATTTGTACCATAGTGTAATGGTGTTGAAGTAGGCCAGGAAATCGACTTGAGAAATAGGAAGAATGGAAAAGCCTGAGGAGAAACTGAAATCTTGAAGTCAGGCTATGGACTGGACGTCATTGGGAAGTTGTGTAGAGGCCTTGTAGAAGACGAATGGTTGAGATAGTCTATGTGGAAGATTATTAGTGGAAGGAAATACAAGAAGATGATTTTAGGATTACTTCATAAAAATGTTTATGCCATTTTTTTTGGGGGGGTCTGGTTGTGGGGCCTGAACTCTGGGCCTGGGCACTGTCCCTCAGCTCTTCAGCTCAAGGCTAGCGCTCTACTGCTTGAGCCACAGAGCCACTTCCAGCTTCTTTCTTTTTGCTTATGTGGTGCTGAGGAGTCGAACCCAGGGCCTCATGCATGCAAGGCAAGCGCTCTACCACTGAGCCACCTTCCCAGCCCCATTTTTTTCTATACTAATACACTACCTAAAATTTATAGTGTTGGGTAATATTTGTGAATCTATTTACCTTCCAGGTGCATTGGATCGTTGTGTGATGGGGATAACGGCTGTTGAGATACTGAATGCTTGTGATGAGGCAGTTCCTGCTGCCGTAGATTCACTTAGTCATCCAGCCATCAACCTCAAACAAGCTATGACAAGACGTAGTCTTGCTGCCCTTAAAAATATGGCTCATCATAAGCTACAAACACTTGCTACTAACCTTTTGGCTTCTGAGGCATCTGATAAGGTGAGTTTTGTATATGAACTTAGGAAACATATAGGCTTCATTCATCTTTATTTAGCAGCATATCTTTGCTATGGCTAAAAGAATAATTTTTGAAAGATGAAACTAGTGGAAAATAAGCCTTTCACTTTTCTTTGGGTTTATTTAGTGTAATTTTTAATAGTTCTAAGTACTTTTAAAAAGGAAGTTATTTTTAACTGTTAAGATATTCTAAAATTATTTCTCCTGAATTGACATTGTTATTTGATATTAGAATACCTATTGTCTATATTTCCTGTTGTTTTGACTTTCTGGTAGTCCTTCTGATGAAAAAATGAGTAATAGTTAATGTCCCCCAAAGGGAAAAAAGTAAGTACAATTTAGACATCTATATTTTTGATAAATTATTTGAGAATCAAGTTTCGATATTAGTGAGGTTTGGTCACTAGAAGGACTTAAGAAAATGAGAACAGTATGATGGAATTGCACAAGTAGTGGAAATTTTATGTGTGACCTAATCTCAAAATTCCTAACAGACACATATGGGTCACTTCTTCCCTTACATCATCTTATTAAAAAAGGAAATCCCAGTTCATTAGTTAATTACCTATTAATTAGTTAATTACCTATTTTTAGGTTTGTAAATGCTGGATAATAGTTGGTTGGTGGCATTTGTGTCCTTTGATATTATTAGGACCAGTTTGTCTCTGGTAATAGTTAAATAAAACCTGTAGACAATCCAGTATTTTATTTGAATCATTTATTGACATTCTAATATATTCATTAAATTATTTATTGGTGCAAAAATTTGTTTTAATTCTCTATTATGGCTGGATTTCCTTTTCTTTCCTAAAAAAAAGTTAGACATAGCTGGGCACCAGTAGCTCACGCCTAATCCTAGCTTGCCCCACGACTGACCAAAAAAATAAAATAAAATAAAAGTTAGACATGTAACTAGCAAAGGGATTGAAAGGTTCATAATGTGACCATTAGCCATGACTTAGTGAGTGCTGGAAACATGAAATACTGTAGGTAGGTTCACTGACCCCCTTCCTTAGTACTTCACAGTAATTTTACCTTTTAATCATTCTCTCCTTCCCTAAAATATGAATGTTTTCTTGAATCTGTTGTATTGTATATTTAATAAATTGGATCCATAAATCCTTCTGTGTTTTTCCTCCATGCTTTTGGCCCCATGCTCTAAAGCTTAAGAAGAAATCACATTTGTTGTACCTGTTATTTCTTCCACATATTTGTCTCTAGAACACTGTCTCATAGAATATTGTCTGATTATTTGACATACTGTATGATTTTAATTTTAAGCAAATATATAAACCAAATAAATTCAAGAACATACATATATATTTCATTCTTTTTATTGATGTTATTCTTAAGAAACAAATGTATTCTTTTTCTTGATGGCATCCCCCAGAATAAAAACTTAGAAAAATAATTCTATAGCTGAAAAATCAAGAAAAATACAGTAACATTTATGAATGGCTTTTGTAAGTGGTCATGGTCCATTATGTGATTTTTACAGTCTTGTTTGTCCCTGTTTTAATAGCGCATTTTATAGTGCAATTAGTGATAAAAGCACCAGATATCAGAGACACTACACTTTTGTATTGTAAAATATATTGCTTGTGAACCTCCTCAGTCTTGTAGTAGTGGTAATTGTTGCCTAGCCTACAAGGGAAACAATTATAGACAAGGGGGAAAAGGCTTAGGAAGCTGAGGCTGCAGGAGGATAATCACTTTATGAAAAATGTATGTTGGCTGGACCATTAGGGATTTCTCTAACTATTTTCTCATGTTGGGTTTGAGGCTCCTCTGAGGGGAATCTTTAAAGAGCTGTCCTATGGATATGGCTTCCTAACCTCAGGAGAAATAAAACTACCCAGAGTTATAAACAAACAAACAAAAACATGACTGAGAACCTCTCGGTGTGAGATTTATTCTTGTCTAGTAGATCTTTTTTTTTACATAAGTCTTCCAATGGAAAGTAGTGTCTATTGGGATAACTTATAGAAAGTATGGTAGTTTTGCAGCATTAGCTTCATGTTAGCTATCAGATTTAGTTGTAACAAATATTTTATTTTTTGAGTTATATTAATTATGTTGGGCATATAAACTTTGTAATTAAGTATAATTTATTGTGCTGTGAATATTTTCTCTCATTAGAACAAGAAAATATTAAGAAAATATATACTTTATTATCCCATTGTTCCTTTCACTTCTGTGTTTCTCTTCAGACTTCTATCTTATATTTCCTAAAATTAAATACCTAAATACTTAAAGACTTAAATACTTACCTTTGTATTCAAATCTCATCTCTCTTTTTTTTTTTTTTTTGATCGGTCTTGGGGCTTGCTTTGGGCCTGAATACTCTCCTTCAGCTCTTTAGCTCAAGAATAGTGCTGTACTACTTGAGCCACTGTGCCACTTCCAGTTTTCTGAGTGATTTATTGGAGATAAGAGTCTCACAGACTTTCCTGCCCGGCTGGCTTTGAACTGTGATCCTCAGATCTCAGCCTCCTGAGTAGCTAGGATTACAGGCGTGAGCCACCGGCACCTGGCTTTCAAATCCCATCTTTCTGAGGCTAAGGAATTTGACTTACTAATTCCTGTGATTTCCTTTCGACAACTCGTAGCAGCCGTACAATATTTGTTGTATTAATGATGTGTAATAGAAAGTGCTGATGGCCTTTGCTTCAGCTTCTTGCCATGTCTTCTTTCTGTCACAGTTGTCCTGAGATCCTTGTCTTGCAGTCTCAACTAGGTCCCATGTCACTGGCCTTTAGATGGAGTCACTCATAGCTTTTGCCCTCTGTTCAGTTCTTCATTTTCCTCTTTGGTTTTTGCTGAGCAAATATATCCTGATGTAATTGACTCCTTCCTTACCATCTCTGTATTTTAGGGTTCCAGTTCAGGCTGGAATTATTTCAGTGTGGCCATCTCCTTACTCAGGTTCTTGAGTTGCTCAATTGAAGCACTATTGATATTTTGTAGTGAGTTGTTCTTCATGGTTTCAGGGCTCCATTCTACAATTTAGGATATTTAGTAGCAGTTTCTTCCTCCCATTTTCCGGCCAAATGTACCTCTCTACCCCAGTTGTGACAATCAGATGTCTTTAAAGGTTGCCAAATGTCTCCTGGGAGGCAAAATTGCCTCTGGTTTAAAACAACTCTGATGGAAAAAGATCGAAATAGTAGCAATTCTGTGTATTTCATCCTATTCTACTTTCTGCTATCCACCCTTGCTTTAATCCCTTTCCTCCTTAAGATGTTCTCACCCCTTAGCACCTTTCCTCCCTTTGGCAGAGGAAGTTGGCCTGCATAGATACTGTGACCTCTTGCATGAGTTTTGTTTTGTTTTCATTTTTCTAGTCCTGGAGCTTGAACTCTGAGGCCTGGGTGCTGTCTGTCCCTGGGCTTCTTTTGCTCAAAGCTAGTGTTTTACCACTTAAGCCACAACTCTACTTCCAGCTTTTTCTGTGATTAATTACAGATAAGAGTCTCATGGATTTTCCTGCCCAAGCTGGCTTTGAACCTTGATCCTCACATCTCAGCCTCCTGAATAGCTAGAATTACCAGTGTGAGCCAGCTGCACTCGGCTTGGAAGAGTTTACCTATAGCATTTTCTGCAGTCACTGGCTGGTTCTTTAGAGAAGATCTTGGGGTCAAAGGGATTTTATCACTGAGGCCATGCAACCCTTACTGCCATGAAATTAATTTTTAAGGAGGTCTAATATGTGTGATACTGTGTTTATCACATTTACATCATGGCCTTTCTTTTTTTATTTTCTATTTTGTTATTGTGAAAATACTGTACAGAGGGGTTACAATTACATGGGCAAGATAATGAGTACATTTGTTATCAAGCATTGTAGCCTCCTCCTTTGTTTCCCCTTCCCATCCCATCCTCCGCTCTGCCCCCCACTTAACCCTCCTCCCCCCCCAAAGTTGTAAAGTTTGTTTTCGATATAAGGACTTATATGTCTCATTGTTGCAATGGGTCCACATGGGAGGGACATACAAAGCAACAAAGAATTAATATTATAAATGTGTTAGAAACAATCGCATGAAAGAAAAAAAAACATTTAAATATATATCTTAGGGTTCACTTCCCTAACATCAACTTATCTGACCTTTTCTGCTTGACTCAGACATATACTAGTTATTGCAAATAAGGGAAACCATGGGACCTATGTTTCCTTAGGCCTGGCTTACTTCACTTAATATAATTTTTTCCAATTCTTTCCATTTCCTAACTAACGAGGCAATGTCATTCTTTCTGATGGAGGCATAGAATTCCATTGTGTATATATACCCCATTTTCTTGATCCATTCATCTACTGAGGGGCATCTGGGTTGGTTCCATATCTTAGCTATGGTAAATAAGGCTGCAATAAACATAGTTGTGCTGGTAGCTTTAGTGCGGTCTTGTTTGTGAACATTTGGGTAAATGCCTAAAAGTGGGATTGCTGGATCATAGGGGAGCTCTATGTGGAGTCTTTTTAAAAAAAAATTTTTGGGTCCGATTGTGGGGCCTGAACTCTGGGCCTGGGCGCTTTCCCTCAGCTCTTCAGCTCAAGGCTAGCGCTCTACCACTTGAGCCACAGCACCACTTCCGGCTTTTTTCTTTTTGCTTATGTGGTGCTGAGGAATCGAACCCAGGGCCTCATGCATGCAAGGCAAGCGCTCTACCACTGAGCCACCTTCCCAGCCCAAGTTATTCAGTCTTAAGAAAACAAAGAAGTAAAAGACTGTAACTGTAAGAGGAGAAATTTATTTCTTCAATTACATATAGGAAACGTGTCACTCCCATGTTTGAGAAATATTGAGAGATGTTTGAAGTTATATTCTAACAGTAAGATTATCGTGATATTCTAACATGTAGGGTACTTACTATTAGCTTTTGTAATTATTTGATATAGAGATATTTAAAAATCTGTGAATCTGACACAATAGCAGATATGATACTCTGAAAGAGTAATGCTTTATAGATCATAATAAATAACAGAA